GAACCATACTACTTTTTAAAAAAATCAGTAGTAGATGATAATAATAAACAGGTAACTGTGCGCGATGGAAATGTTTGTGATAACCGACAAAGATCACTGGACAGCTGCTTTGTCCTGTTTGGGACTCGTCAGCAATGCGTACTTTTTTGCCCCTGTCAGGACCCGAATCGCGAACTTTCGGGTGAGGACTTCAAATCCATACCCCTGAGCAACACGGTCGGTGGTCATCACCTTGTGCGAATAGCTGAATCAACCTTTTTTACGCTAGCAAGCTTGGATTAGCCCATTCGATTGTTAAGAGGCACCAAAAAAAAACGCAATTTATCGCAGGCCAGAATAAGGTTACGGATAATCATATGCAGTGTTCCGCACATGCTTGTACAATCTGCAGTTATTTCCCATAATGTAACTTCTAATTTAACTTCGTGATCAAGTCCGTACATGGGCAATCAGAAAACTTTAAAAATTATTCCGGAATCGTGTAAAAGATGCATCGATGCCATGGGATTGCCGGCTTGGAGAATAACCAGACAAATGTATACTATGCTCCCAAACAAACCAATCCCGCCTGCATCAAGGTTTTGACATCGGTCGATGATGGAGGTAGACGTGGTTTTTTTCGATAAATAATGCCACCTGCAAAATTCCATCTGATTCCACCCGTGAACAGACGATCAACACTATAGTGGATTCTCAGTTGTCAGTTGCTAATTGCAATTCTTAACGTTTAAAAGTTGCGCACAGTTTTTCTTCTTTACAAGATGTTAATTGACAGGTGGCAACACGAAGTAGAGAAAATGTGCAATCCGTCGCGGTCTATTCACCGGATATGCGCATTACGCGTACATCGGCCCGATGCAAATCGCTGCAATCAGCTATATTCCAAACCTCACACGGACGCCCAATTAACACCAATAACATTGCGCTATCCATGTATGCATCTACGATTGACTAATTGATCGTTCCGATCAACTTCCCGGATTAATGCAATNATGCAATGGAAACGGTTGATCAAAACCAACCAAGCTGATGTGCGTACCAAAACGATTTCATGTGACCCTATTCCATCATTTTTTTCCAAATGTGGTCGACTGGCACGAAAAGGGTGAACGGTTTTAGGCCATATTATCGATCGAAACAATTAAGGTCTCAGCCTGAACCCTGCGTTTGAGACGATGTGAACTACTTCGTGCTATCATCCTGAAATTGATGCAGTACGCTCCATACATCCAAGCACACAGTATACATTGTATTTAATCATACATGTTCGCAGTATTGTCTGTAATTTGGTGTATACCAAAGCACTATTGCCCAGCACGGAAGTTAAAGCCAGTACAAAAGATATCCTGCAATGGCATATCACATGCACGCGCATGATAGAATGAAGAAAAAGGTGAAAGCAGTATCGAGGAGAAAATGGAGCATTCCGGTAGACTAATGTTGCAATGAAATTGAGAAGATACAAGAGCGCCGCGTTTACCACATTCAGCTATCTCTCAGTGTCCAGAACCATTGATTAACATGACCCCGAGGTCCCAATCCAGGAGGCCGAACGCGGCCTATATGGCCGAGTCGCCTGGTTAGGTTTTCTCATCCTCGCGGAAGGTCTGAGTTTAACCACTCTTGGACCTTTTCAACCAACGATCTGCTCGGTAAACACCACGCACGCACCGTGGCTCGCGGGCACTGAAGAGCACAGAAATCCGTTCGTCACCAGTCGTTTCCAACAGTTATAGCCCAGGTGACTAAATCAAAACAATGACAACCAGCACTCAGGCAGGATTGCAAGACTTGGAATCGATGGGCGGTCAAATGTTTCTCCCTTTTAGGTAGTGGACGGTTGTGCAGGGGGCACAGCAATCGGCCTCGGTGACCCAGAGAGTCGTCGTTAGTGATTGATTAACCCCATGCTCAACGTAAATGCAGCCAAACGTCATAATTCATTTCGATTGAACACCAACGAGGTACGGAACTATTGTTGCGGATTTGACCAACATTTTCGTCGACATTTTCCCGTTGATTGAAACCGAGAAGAAATTTATTATTTAGACATTTCATGATAATAAAGCATTAAGACCCAAAACCTCCAAAAGCCTTAGTATGGTTAGGGTGGGTGTCTAGGGTTGCGACTGGTCACCCTCCCTTTGCACCACGCGAAATGCTCCCATACTACCTAGCGTCTCAAATGGACTCTGCTCAGGAAGCCTTACTCACTGCCTTCTAGTGGCCGCGGTGTTTCCCCACCAAAGTGAGAGAACGAAAAGCCGATATCCGGTTTGGTGGACCACTGGTAGTTCACCTAGAGGAGGTGGCCAAAAACCCTGATTCCAAACCAAACAAGAGACACACACACCTCCCTGGTTGTGGCGGTGGTCACCGGCTCGATCAGGCATCGAGGTGTATTGAATAACGTGGACGTTTGACCCTTCCAAAGGGCGTATGATCCAATGAACTGAACACCGGTCTCCGGTTTTTACATACACGGCTCGCTGCCTTGCGGGTCAGGCATTGGTTAGCCGAAGGCTTTGCTTGTGGATTGCTCAAGAGAATTCACCTGTCTTGGTCTGGGCAGCCTGGCAGTATTCGGCGCTCATGCAAATTGTGGAACGTATTTCTCTTTTTTCTAAAGATTATTGCACCATGATTTGTTTGGAACACTCATTTGCCTTAAGCTCTCACAGTATTTTGATTTCTGAGTAGATAAAAAAGAACGTTTTTGGGTCTTATATTTATATTCTCACGCACGTCTAAATACAGACTGTGTGCAAAAACAAATCATGGAACAATAATCTTTAGAAAAAAGAGAAATACGTTCCACAATTTGCATGAGCGCCGAATACTGCCAGGCT